ATCATTAATTCATTAGTTTCAATCAAATGTTTATTATCTTGCACATGAATGTATATACAAATGCATGTTCGTGAAAATATCTTGTAATCCTTTAACATATGTCTAAGTAATGATTTTACTTTTAAAAAGCAGAACAGAATAGAAGTTTATCGTACACATCAAAACATACTGCCAACTTTTGATTAAATAGATTTTATTGCAGAAATCATTTAAATCTAGATCATTCTTATTGAATAATTTTAATAAGTGAATACACTAACTAAATATAGGAAGCTGCATTTTCTTTGGTGGCCCTTTCGTAAAATAAAATGTCAGTTTTACACTTTGCATTCATAGAGCTTATAAATATAATATGAAGCGTTTTAAATGTAAACAGACAAGCCACACAAACACGAACATTCAGTAATCGTTTATTGCAAACGTTTCGGCTATATGCCTTCATCAATGCAAAACATAATAAAATTACCGGAAGCGACGTCAAAACGGAACACGCGTAAAACGCACGAAAAACGTTATGGCGTTTAGTGGCAAAAATATGGTAACATGTAGAAACATAAATTTATGTTATAAATAATGCTGGTACATGAATTATTATTATTATCATTATTATTATTTTGCGTTTTAAATGTGACATATCTACTCTGTATTTACATAAAGCATGTTTTAACAATTACATAGAGCCCATGTAGCAATTATCAATATTTTGAAATTTTAAATTTGAGCATAATATTTCTTTAAATTTTTTGATTTGTCAAAATGTTAATACGATAATATTCAAACTTATACCGATTATGGTCATTTTTTTCCATAGATTTATTTTCACTGGTGTTTATTAATTGTTTCATAAACATAGAAACGTCAGTTGCTAAATAGATACAAACAAAACCTACATGAACATAAGGTTTGCTTTCTTTGCGGTAATCAGCTTTTATTCAGCTTTTATTCACTAATAAGATACAAACATAAACTAATATTAACAATATGCAAAAAAAATTGTATGAATAATATTCGTCACAGCATATAAAGACACATCATATATAAATTTGACCAATTTTCGACTTATTTCATAGAACATTATTGTTATAAAAATTCTCAAAATTAATTGAAGCAGTTTTCATCAAAACGTTTACGTTAAACGTTTCCTGTTAACACTGAAATCAGATTTTACTTCCATCAATATTGAACTTCATTGACATTTTTAAAATTCAGTAACTGACAAGTACTCCACTAAATGTGTTCATCCTATATGAGTCTTGATATAGCTGGCGGTTAGAAGCTGACGATGTTGATTTGACCCAAACTTGTCCTCCTGATCTAACTCTTATTATTGCTCCAAAATATGTACAGCTTGCTATTTTTCATCACCAAAGTGTGCCATGTGCGTGTGCATAACACTACCTTCCAAACACCAGGCCAAGCATATGCATTATTTTCTTATATGAAGTACATACTATGAACAGTCAAACTGATACAGTTCCTCGCAACAGGCTTGCCCGTTGAACAATCCCGGCTGGACGTTGTCGTAACCTGTTCCCTCGTTAGTGAATGTCTTTTCAAAATATGAGAATCTCATCTGTAGTATCAAGAAGCAGGGTCTTTTCAAGTGATGTGCATAGAAAGCGATAGCAGGTTGTTCAAGTTTTTCCTGAGGTATAGAAATAATTACTTTGTATTTTATATCTAAGATATTTAAATCAAGGGGCCTATGCGGAGGGGGGGGAGCCGACAGTAAAAAAAAAACCTTATATTTATATCGTTACCAATAATCGTGTAGAGTTTAGACTAATTACAACTAGAATGTTGTGAATTGTCAAACAAATCATCTGGACATCTTATGAAATTTACATATAAAGCCAACATATTTTTATTCTACCATTGTTTGATTATAAATATTTTGATCACGTAATGATATCCAAGATAAACATATGACAACGTAAACAGCAATTTAATAATTTGCGGGTATGATTAATGGTAGATAAATAGAAATCAAACACAATTGATATAAAGCAGGTAGCAATACACGATCATGATATTCTTTTTGTTACACACAGAAAAAAGTATATTCATTTCATTGATAAGTACAAAACTAACATTCAGCACAAATTTACGCTTTGTCTGTATAACGCAAATTACGTCACGTCAAAATACATAAACGGCCGTGAAAAACCATGCTCAAGGAGTTGCAAAAGTGCTATTGGTATCTGATTAATAATTTTGTACATGAACAAAAGAATATGAATTGCCAAACAATACTTTCAAAGATAATAATACATACACTTCATTATAATTTTGTAGCATAATATTTTTTCTTTGCTTTAAAATTTTCTGATTGCCTTTAAGTTTTTATTTAAAATCTGGAAACAAAATAATCCCTTGGAAGCATTAATCACAACAAAATTACAAGAGAATTGCAGACTTGGTTTGATTTAGTCTGTACATGAGGGATAATGTAAAGTGCAACATCCCATACGCCCCTTGCACCGGCTTTAGCGGTACTCAATTTTCAACACTCAATAGTGCTGGCATCAATGATCCCGAAGGACCAGAAAAATATAACAACACTGAAGTGAAGTATGGGGAACTCTTTACAGCTGCCACGCTCACTTGACACCTGCTGTTGTGAAGTATTAAAATCTGGAGACAAAGTGATCCCTCGGAAGCATTAATCACAACAAAATAACAAGAAAATTGCAGACTCGGTTTGTTAACTCTTTTCACGAGGGATAATGTAAAGTGCAGCTTCCCTAACGCACCCTAGCACCTGCTTATCTGTCATTGCAACAAAAAACAGAAACACATACGCCTCTTTTTTATCTCCCAAAGAACATAACAACATGGAATATACTTTATACATTATACAGTTCAGATTTACCATAACAAACTTTTGCAGTAAATTATCAGCTGCTGCACAGTGTTGCAAAGTAAGGATTATGTTTAGAATATTGAGGTTTCTTAGTATTTATCATTTAATAACGCATAATATTCATCAGAAAGATGATAATTATTGTGCGCCAAGAAAAAAAGAACAACAAAAATAAAAGAACAAAAGTATTCATGCCATATTTATTTGAAAACGCGACAATGTAGTTGTATATGTATACTGATAAACATAGCAAAGTACTTTTTTTCTCATAATTATGTAATCATAATATTCGTCAGACGACAATCATTGTATGTACATATACACGAATTTATATATATATAATGTCATTAACAAAAGCCAAGTATATCATGCAAGCCTAGTAAAAACTGAATATATATATATATATATATATATATATATATATATATATATATATATATATATATATATATATATATATATATATATATATATATATATATATATATATATATATATATATATATATATATATATATATATATATATATATATATATATATATATATATATATATATATATATAAAATCCTGACGACGTTGTTATACATGGTATTCACTAAAAAGAAGTTTAGATTTGATGACAGCAGTATTAAATGATTCTCACAAACATTTTTTCAGAAGAAAGAAATCTTGTTAAATATTAAGGATAGTTAGGATATTTAGTTTTACATAGCCAGTAGTGTTACTTCTGAAATAGGGAAGAAACACAACTTGCATTCTAATAAAATATTTTGATTTTCCTCGCTCAACTTCTATAATCAAATTTCATTTGAAAGTTTTTGAATTTCTATTGGCTGACGTGTTTTATAACCATTTATAGCCATTTTATAACGTAATTAAATATAAAAAAAAAATCAGGGAATATGTTCCCTTATAAGAAAACAAATGATGATGAGTTTGCGTTTTCCTTCATGGAAACATGATTGTTTTGGTATATTCATCTTAACATAAATGTTCACTGTTATTCATGTTTTGTATAGATTAAGAGTATATAAAAAAGCTTAAATATCGCAAATCTAATTTAATAACACAGCAGTGTTCTTTGATGCACCAAATAGGAAAAGCTGAACACACGACACAATAGGGCAGAAGAATTACAATTATTTTTTTATAAATTTTATACATGTTCATACTCATACAGAAATAATGACATATTCAAAGAAAAATTGACAATTGAAATTCGCAAAATCTTTGAGATCTTCGTTTTAAGCGTATGCATATATGCATGACTAACAGTCCGATAGGTCAAGGTTTGAAGTTCTGATTTATAACAAATCAAGACGATAAACCATCTTATTAACTGATATGGTAATTCTCTAACTCCGGAGACGTATTAAGGTTGCCAGGTGATACACATCATGGTAACAATTATGTGTTGTTTCTAATCTATTAGCTTCAATCAAATATTTACAATCTTGCACATGCAATGCATTTTTGTGAACATACTTTCAAATCCTTTGAAAGATGTTTAAGTAATTTGTTACTTTTAAGGAGTAGAACAGAATAGAAGTTTATCTTAGACTATAAGATATACAATGTTCATGTTGAGTAAAATAATTCTATTACAGAAATATAAATCAAGATTATTCTTATTGATCTGAAATGAATGCACTAACTTAACATGGTAAAGTGCATTCCCTTTAGTGGTCCTTTTGTTAAGAATGTCAGTTTTTTATAATAACACTTTACATTAATGTTTGTCATAGATTTAATTTCACTTGTGTATATTATTTGTTTTAATAAACATAGAAACTTCAATTGCTTTAAATTACATTCCAACAAAACATACATAAACATAAGATTCCCTTTCTTTGCTGTTATAAATTCAGTCTTTTTCTGCTATAAGATTCTAACATAAACTAATAATGGAAATATGCAAAATAAAACATGGTATGAATAATATTCGTCACAACATATATAGACACATCATAGATAAATTAACAATTTTCGACTTATTTCACAAAACACTACTGTTATTAAGAGTCTCAAGAAATGTATTGGAGCAGTTTTCATCAAAACGTTTACGTTTTACGTCAGCTTATAACACTGAAATCAGATTTTACTGCCATCAATATTTAATGATTTTTTTTATAATTCAGTAACTGACAAGAACTCCACTAAATGTGTTCATCCTATAAAAGTCGTGATATAGCTGGCGGTTAGAAGCTGACGATGTGGATTTGACCCAAACTTTTTCTCCTGATCTAACTCTTATTATTGCTCCAAATGTATTGCAGCCATGAGACTTATCACCATAGTTAGAATCTGATGCAATAACGTTATCTTCCAACACCAGGCCAAGATATGCAAAATTATCTTGACGAGCACATGTATGAACAGAAAACTGGTACAGTCCTCCAACAGGTGCCGTGAACAAGCCCGTGGACGTGTCGTAGCCTGAACCCTCGTTTGTGAATGTCTTCTCGAATTTGAGTACCTCATTCGATGTATCAAGAAGCATGCCTTTTAAGAGATGTGCGTAGAAAGCGATCGGAGGTTGTTCGAGTTTTCCTGGTTATGGAAATAATACTTTGTATTTTACATCTAAGATATTTAAACCAAGGGGCATATGCATGTAACAAAACCTTATATTAATATCAGGCTTATATATGTAGTTTAAATAATTCAAATAATTAAAAACTAGAATGTGTGAATGTAAACAAAATCATCTGGACGTCTTACGAGAGTTAGAAAAGTACATATGGAGCAACATTGTTTGTAATATATTATTGACCACGGGATATACCAATATAAAACATGAGTCAGGTTAGCAACAATTTAATTTTGCTATGATTAGTTGTAGATAAATAGAAATCAAACACAATTGATGTAAAACAGGTAGCAATACCTTGGAGTTGAAAAAGTTTCTCTTTTTCAGCCTCGATGTCACTTGTCAGGTTTTTTCTTGTTTCCTCAAATGATGTTTTGAACGTTTCTGTAATAAAGTATGAACATTCTATTAACTAATATCTAACCAAAGTTAAGGGGTATTCTGTACGCACAGCATCCTTTCTCTATAGCTGCTATAATAATGTTCCCCTGTAAAACATGTAGCGTTGTGATAATCTAAATGTAATTCATGCTCAAAACAATTAATGGAATTTTTAGGCGTACGTAGCAACTGATATATTTAATCTGATTTTTGGAACATAAATAGTTGTATACATTGTATATAGCTTACAGATAGTTGAATATTGCAAATATATTATGTTTTGAACTTCTTTTTATCACTTTAATTTACCAAATCAATTAAAATGATTAAGATATATTGATCTATAAATCCAACAATTACAAATTAAACAATACATTATTGGAAATATGCACAACGTATAAAGTTTATTTCTTATTTTATTTAAACTGTTTCGGTTAACATATTTTACACACCTCCTGAAAAGATGCCATTTCGAAACTAGTTCTTTAGTACATTGATTTTAGTACGTCATTACGAGAAGCTAACAACACATATTGAATTCTGCTATATTATTGGCTGGGTAGAACAGAAACATAACATCTAATTTACACAATCATTAAATTATGTAATAAAGTAAGCTCAACCCACTTTTTAAACCTTAAATGCAATTTGTAAAGGAGGTGGTAGTGTATACAAAAGCTGTAATTCATTGTATATGAACAGTCACTCACGCCAAGGGGAGTAACTCAATTAACATTATAGATTTTAAATTCATAATTTAACTCCTTTGAATGTGACAACACAAAAATAAATTGTATTTTAAACTTAGCATTTAAAAGTGTATGCTGTGAGAAATGTGAATTTGATGTAAAATAACTGTTTAACTATTATACCTTCCTCATCACCTCTCTTTAACTTCTCGTCCGTTATTTTTTCCCTCATGTCTACAAACATGTCCGCAAAATTTGAAACTGCTAGTTTAGTGTCTGACATCATCCTTTAGTTTTTTTAAAATTTTTTTTTACCCAAATTTTTTCTTTCCTTAATTTTTAGTCCCCCTTTCATTTTTTTAAAAGCTTTTTATTTTTCAAATTTTTTGAACATTACAGGGCCCCTCTAGTCGACAAATTTTAAACATAATATTCCTAGACAATAAAAAATGGAAAAAAACCCCGTGGGAAAACCCCAAATTTTCATTTAAATAAATTGTTTTCCCTAAAATTGAGAAGCTTTCTGGATTGAACCCTGTTCGAGAAACTGTTGTATTTATACAAGGAAAATCTGTGTGTTTGGAAATGAGGCCCGCTATTATCATTATGTTTTAGCACAATTGCAAGGCACTATTAAGGATTTAATATTGTCATTTTTAATTCCCCAAAACCATTTTTTAAGAGAAAAAAAAATCTTTACAAAATCGAAATTTTTTAGTACAAAGGACTTTTTTTCCCTTAACAAAAAATACCCAAAAAAAAGGCATAATTTAAAAAATTTTTGATTAAAAAGGGGTCATTCGTTTTAAACATAATTACTCCTGAATTGATACTGCGATCTCTTTTCTTTAATATGATAATCATTGATGCTTTGATATAATAGATCATTTCTCCTATTTTATTTATTGTACGTGTTTATACATTACTTTTATATGCGCCTAAATTTTTACAAAAATTTGTTTAAAAAACTTGGAAAATTAAATTTTTGAGTCTTAAAGATTCAATTGATTAAATAAACTGTTGTTAAATTTCCCGTGAGTTTGTATCAAACAAACCCAAATTTAAATTTTGGTTTTTAAAATTTTTTCGTTTTATCAATTACCAAAAAAAAATTTTTCGAAACATTCTTGCAAGTTTTAATTTATTTGAATTGAAAAATTTTCGGTACCTTTTCTTTATTTATTTAGAATTACCAAATTTGGGTAGATTCTTAAAATTTGTAAGTAGGGGGAAACCAAAAAGATATAACCCTTTACAAAAATTTTTCAATCAACTTAGCTTTATTTTCAAAAATCCATTGGACCCAAATGTTTTAGAAAAAAGTTTATTCAAACCCGTCTTTTTTAAAAAGGGGATCTTTACTTGTTATTAGTATGTTGTTAGTTCGGTAAGATAATATGGCTTAGATTTTCATGTTAATCGACTATTCAATTAATATTTTCTGAATTAAAGATTTAATTGTATCTAGGAAGATTAAAAATAGCTGTGGAAATTTAGCCAGTCGCAAACGTTTGTGCATTAATTTCACATCAAGATATGCAAACTTTAATACATAGAGGGCAAGTACGTAATTATTTCTTGACCCTTTTATTTTTTCTTTAAAGCTGTGTATAATGTGTAAATAAAAAGAAAAGTCTAATGATTGAATAACTTGTATCAAAATAACAGTCATTTACAATGTTTTATATTTTTGCAACACATGCATGTTTTTGTTTCTTTTGCATATATTTAGTTATAACATAAAGGCATATAATGCATCAGAAATGAAAAACAATATTCTTACCACCTTTAGAAACAGCACACATGGGTTCCATGGCGTTCTCAGACTGGCTTTTAGAGTTTACTTTAATCTAGACAGAATTAAGGCTGAACGAGAACTTTTTTCATTTAAGAAAGAAAAAATGTAAAAAAAGTAGTATTTGACTTCAATACAAATTACCAAATTTACTAACTGTCAAAATGCAACTGAGGCAACAGATTGCTGAGATGTTACGTAATGTGTGACTTTTTGTTATTATAACCAGACAACACAAGCTTAAAGCTGTAAGGAAATAGAAATATGTCTTGGGTATAATGGGCCATAAATGTATATTTACTAAACCTTGAACTTCGGACCTTTTAAATGTATATTTACCGTCTTGGTGTGAACCGTCCCAATAGTGAAACGTCTGTCTACCTATCTTACTGTACAATTAAAATACATGGTACCTTCGATTATCTTTTTCATTTCTACTTCATGATGTATGCATTCAAGGTGTAAGAATTTATCTTTTTCACATTGTTTGCATTTATTTACATTATGGCGTTTGAGATTGTCTATTTTATGGTGCTTTTTTCTATTTCATGGTGTTTTTATCTTTAAAACTAATTGCCTATTATTTTTCTATTTCAGGATGTGTGCATTTACTTATTTCATGTTGTTTTTTTCGGTTAATCTATTTCATGATATTTTCATTTATTCATTTTACAGTATCTTCATTTATCTATTGTACGTCCGTGAGAGAAATGACATTTTTCATGGTAAAACCAAAAACAAGGGCCGGATAGAAAAATAGATCTTGTTTTCGATTCGGTCTTCACAAAAGTTCCAACAAACTTGAGTCACCCTTACCCCTTTTTACAGTACCATTTTAATGTCAAAAATGACGCTCATACGTGATATAATGTATAGAAATTACTAAATGACATTAATAAAGACGTCAATTAAATAACAACAAAGTATTAAATCGAAGCGAATCGAATTTAGTTTAAATAAGTTCATGATATCTATTTCGTAAACAAAAACAGAATAACGATATATACATCGAGTATTTTCCGTAACGAAATAATGTGATACAGGGATAGTACAAAAGTAATGTCGAATATGTTTAAATTAATTAACGAATTGAGCACCAGAGAAATTAAAATGATTGATAGTAAATACAACTGAAAGAAATCAGTTATCGCATACGACAACATTTCTTTGATTTATGGTATACCACAGATATTTACAGAAGTACTAACGTTATATAGTTAAATACATGTATTATTAGGCAATATGTTTTAGGTGCAGCATTCACAAAACTGGCACAATCTCATAAAAGTGTTGTTGTTGTTGTTTCCATTTAATCTGATTTTTATTATCATATGACACTGATAGTGTGTCATATGTCTCAAGTGTACAAAATATAAAAAGCCAAAATATGCTCGAGATGTTTACATGATTTAAAAATATTTAACTGCTTAATGATACATTTACACGAAATAAACCTCTAATATATTTTGCATTAACTTTCCTTACATTGTGTTCTACTCTACTCTACTCTAATTTATCATACAAATCTCCTGTAATATCAACAATATGCAATAAAAACGTAATTGCAAGATTTATATTTTACAACATATCGACTCATCATCGATCAATCGATGATAATCAACAATGTTTTTTGTTTGACGTTATAATGAGTCACAACAATTAATTAAAATAATTTGTATTAAAATGTTCACGTTTAACCGCTTATCATTACGTATCAAAGCTGAAATGTTTAGTGGTTTATGTATCATTCAGTTATTGACAAGAACTCCACTGAATGTGTTCATCCTCAGTGCGTGTTGAAATAGCTTGCAATTAGAAGATGACCATGTTGATTTGACCCAAACTTTTTCTCCAGATTTTACTATTATTACTGTTCCAAACGTATTACAGCCACAGGTATTATCAGCATCGTAAGCATGTGCTGCAATAACGTTACCTTCCAACACCAATCCAAGATAAGTATGTTTTCCTTTATCAGGACATGAATGGACATCAAACTGGTACAGTCCTCCGACAGGTGCCGTGAAGATTCCTGTGGACGTGTCGTAACCTGTTCCCTCGTTAGTGAATGTCTTCTCGAATATGATAATCTCATCTGTAGAATCAAGTGCCAGATCTTTCACATGATGTGCGTAGAAAGCGACTGGGGGTTGTTCAAGTTTTTCTTGACATAGAAATAATATGTTTAGTTCATATTGTAAAACATATTTTCATTTGTTAAACAGGTTAATTACCGTCAATTCATGATGCACACGGAAAATTAGATTTCATGTTTAAGTGCTTCTCTGAATTAAGGTATTTATACATTTAATCTGTGAAACATATATATAAGATATCTAAATCACGGGACCTTTGTAAATGACAAAAGACTAGTCCTATTATTATATTGATCGATATCTATAAAGGTTAAATGATGAAATTAATTTAAAATAGAATATGTAAAGTCAAATGAAATCATTTAAAGGTTAATGGGAGTTACAATTTTAATGATCAATGATCCGTTATAGATAAATCTAAATCAAACACACTTTTATCTAACACATGTTAAAACACTAGTCATTACGTTAAAATATAGTAGATAATAATACCTTTCAGTTGAATAAGTTGAGCCTCAATGTCACTAGTGATGTTTTTACTTGTTACGTCAAATAATTTCTTGAACGATTCTGTAATAATAATCTAACTAAAGTTCAATATTATTCAGTAGGAAAATGTTCTTTTAAGCATCCTATCTCTTAAGAAACTATATAATAATGTATAGTTTGAAATAAAAATGTAAGAAATGTGTCTTTTATTATTTTAGTGACATTTATACCATGCTCAGGTTAATCAAAAAAAAATAATTGTATAAGTTTTCAAAAATTATATTTTTTTCTCTCACTTCAAAATAACAAATCAATACGAATTATATTTATCCAGAACTATGTTACAACACAATTATAAGAGACAAAATATGCAAAAGATCTAAAAGATTTGTCGTATTTTATCTTTATGCTTTTTGATATAAATGTTTTATATTAAAAGAATGAAGATTTGAAATAAAACAACGTTTATATTTTACCTTCCCTCCTTTTTATCTCATCCCCTCTCTTTAACATTTCATCCGTTATGTTCCCTCTCATATCTACAAACATGTCAGTAAATGTTTGTTTAATGTCGCCTAATGTACTGATGACATTATCCTCAGTTTTCTTAATTTCATTCACCATTGTTTCTACCTTAATTTCAGTCCTAATCATTTTCTCTAAAAGCTGTTCTTCATATGCAAATTTAGAACATATAGGCTCTCTAGCCTCAGAAAAATTATAACTATATATTCCAGCGGCAATAACAAATGAAAATAACAAGGAAAAACCCATTTTGATGATGACAGTTGAAAAATTAAGTTGAAAAAAGTCTCTGAATCTTACTCGCTTAGAACAATTGTATTTATACAAGGAAATCTGCGTTGTTATTTAAGTATGAGGCCCGTAATATATTTTTAGTATAAATGCATTGAAATAAGGTATCGAAGGATATCCCTCGGGAAACATTCTGATTTTTCTTTACATAGACTTACTTGCCAACTGAAATTTATGTGACAGCACTATTATTAACAAATCAGCATGTTTCTATTAAATACACACAGTTGATTCCAAGATCTTTTAGAAGAGTAATAAAGAAACTGATGTGTTGACCTTTAATAGCGATTGTTTCATCATACGTGAATTTGAAATAATTAGTCCTTTGTATTGTCACATAAGTCATGTAAAGGTGATATAACTCTAGAAAAAAAGATGAAAAATAATAGACTCGCTTTGATTGAGACTGTTCATAAGAGACACTGATATGTGCAAGCACTTACTACACCAGCTAGCACCTGCAGAAGCCGTATTCATTTGTCCATACAATTAAGGGATATACTAGTAATCAATTATCCTGAAGGACCAGAAAAACAATAATTACACTGAGATGACTGGTTTTATTTAAGACAGTTAGTTACTCATCAAGTTAAAGGAATACTGGTCATTCTAGTATGTCATAATTTCTGGCTTGCCAAAAGCTACTAAGCAAAGATATATGAAACATCCGTTATATTTAAACACTTTTACTTAACACAAACTGTTGATACAATAACGTCCTTATTAGAAACGATTAATTGTTCTCATTAAACTTCGATTAAAGTCGTTGCTATCAATAGATAGAAAAAAACTAAATAGAAATACCTAATAATATAGAAGGAGACAGAAAGATAGATACAACTTAAAAAAAACAATTAATAATAAAATAGAGAAAATAATAATCCCTAAAGAAAGCACAGCACGGTAAAATTGAATATGTTGCAGGCTCGGTTTGATTGAGCCTGTTCATGGACGGTACTGTCAAGTGCAAACTACCGTCCACGCCCCCTAACACCGACTTAAGCAGAATTCTATGACATGAACTGGTACAATTTTGAATTTCGAAACATCCGCAGATGTGTTCATAACTTTACGTTTTGTTACCATTTCAATATTGCTATATCCATATTTATTGCTTTCGCCCATTTTTATGATATTCTGGAGATTTTAAACTTTTGTTTAAAACTTCTTGAAGCTGTTAATCGTGCGTAAAAATTTTAAACTTTTAAATAGTCCTACATAAAGTGACTCTACATTAAAGGCTGACTGATTTGTTTGATTTCCAGTGCTTTAAGATAATCATAAATAAAGTAGCGAATAAGAATATCATGTGCATTATTGAAATCATAAGTTACTAAGTTTTAATTTGAATATAAAAGCAATCCCTCTTACTGAACCTACTTTTATAACGAGAAAGCAAACATAAATGTCTTTGTATTATTGAAAGGATAACATTATAATAATATCGTATTATTTATTGTTTTATTTTAAGAATTTGGGCGTATATTTAATAAAACTTTCTTTACATCGGACACGTAGGTGATATATTTGCTCGCATTTCATGAAAATCGTGATGGAAAAATAAAACAACAAGGCGGGTCTTTACAACACCCTGAAAATTTTTAACTGTTGGCAACATGATAAGTGCTTCAATTTGATTCATTTATTTAACTTACATTATTCAAGAGATGTTATTTTTGTATGTTTTATATTTGATAATCTATACGAACATATCCTATTCCCGAAAATAAATACACAAGTTTCAACCCTTCACGAAAAGGTACTTTGTAATTCAACATGTGATTATATACTTAATTATTCTTTCTCTTTTTAAAATTCAATGCTAAAATAACATGATATATAAGTAGATTTTTTCGTTTGTATTTATCAAGTTTATCATATTGAAAGCCTTACCGGAATATATGTACTATATGAACCAAGAAAAGTTCTAGTTATACACCAGTTTCAATTCTTCTTGAAAAGGTGCTTTTAAGTTACCTAGCGATTTTATACTTAATTAATCTTTCCCTTTTAATTTTTTGCAATACTTTGAATGAAATTTAAGTAGGACGTCATGATATATAGATTTTTTCATTAAAAAATATCAGTATTTAAATAATAACCATATTGGCAAATATAATAAGCACACAATGATCTTTTATGATCACAAACTACCCAACAAAACAACGCGTCAAAATACACAACATACAATTAATTTGTGTTACACTTCAATTCTAAACATGTATGATCCAAAGCAAAAATGAAAATACTTGGTTAGCATATAGTAACATATATGACAAATATCTAATGTCTATATTTTCTGTTTGCAATATATACAACTTGGATAAAAACACATCTCAAACGTTTAGGAATTAAATTTGATATAAACGATAAATTATGTCGTCAATATAGAATTTTTTAGCATATTTAAGTGTAAGCTGTCAACTTGACATTCAGTTGCATAATTAATTATTCAACACTTTTTTATGCAAATATTATTTCTGAGTTTACGTTTAATTTCTCATGTGGCGTTTTTTCATCTTTTATTAAGCTTATCATTTTTCATTGGTTCCTAGTATAACTGTTCCGTTGGGTTTGAAACAAGTAAATTGACATCGGGCTGCTGTTTATCAACCGTGAAAGAAATGCTATGAAACATGATTTTACTGAAATTTCTGACTTTGTCATTTTTCAATACATATACATGGCAGCATAAATCATGTTCAATTATAAATCAATTTGCTGATTGGCATGGCTGCATATGTATGTTTAACATAAAAAAGTGAAATGCAGTGAACAGTTTTTATGTTTTATTTTATTGTTAACAAGTTGTAAATAAAACACACACAATAAATAAAATTTTATAAAATAATAAAAATCATTGCAAAAGTGAACCAATAAAAATATTGAAAGTCTGTCAATCATTACAGCGATGTCCTCTTAGGCGTAAGTAGATTGGTCTATATTGTTTTATTTTTTCCTTTCTGATGTTGTCTTCTCAGTTATGTCCTCATTTGTTACGTATCAACAAAATTTTTTCGCCAGTATTGAAAATGATTCAGTTTTGCAGAAATTAATTAAGTTTGTTATGAGTATACATTGTAGATGTATAACATTATTTACTGGACTGAAACATGATAAATGGTATACCCTCATTTTGGCGTTCAGTTATCTCTTTTTAAATTGTGTCATATGTTATTTGATAAGAATCGATATGATAGATATATAGAGGATATTTGTTTATTTCAGTGTAAGATCGGAATATATTTCATCGAGTGAGCACCAAAAGGTATAAGAAATATGAACTTTTGGTGTTCACAAGGTGAAATATATTTCGATCTTACACTAAACTAAACAAATTTTCTTTTTATTACATGCAAAGAAACGTTTTAAAAAGACATTAAACCTAATACTGAATGAAAAACGCGCCAAATAATAATTCAACGTGACGTCATTTACGACGTCACGTCATTAGGTTGGTACCCAGTACTGTGCACGCTGGTATTTCACTGAAACAACGTAAGGGGCTTAAATTCAAAACAGTGAAATTATCAAAGTGGTAATTTCACTGTTTCAAACAGTGAAATTACCAGTTTTATATCACTTTCTATAAACCACCGAAAAGCATGTAATAAAATTCTATAGTTTATCATGTTTATATGTACACTATATTCGTATGTGCAACTTATCTTTTAAAAAAATGAATAAGTAGTTCATTTATATGCTACTCTTGTCTGATTAATTTCCTATGTGTGTATTGTTACCTACTTAGAACCTTTTCGCATAAATCAAAAGTAATCAGTATATCTTTTACTTACTTAACCAAAGCCCGATTTATTTTAATTCTCTTTATGCAATCAAGAAAGGCTAGCAAGTTTATAAAATATTTCATTTGCCATCACATTCGATTTTTCCCTCACCTTTCTGTTTCATTTCAAAATTGATTATACACTGTCATAATAGGTTCCAGCTTGCTGATTCAAACATTCATAAAACGGAAAGAAAGAAAAAGAGTAGATACAAACGTTTCTTCAATTTAGAAATAGTGCTCATATAAAACATAACAGGATATTTTATAATAATAATGAACCCATTGACTTTATTAGTAAAAGTTGCTATTCACATGTAGCATTTATTACTGGAAGGATGTTTGTGAGCATTAGCTGTAAAGGCACAAGGAGCTAGGTTCACTACTTAAAAACACTTGTATAAATTCTTCAAGTATTCTTATAGTGATATAAACTTACAATAGTTGATATTATAATATTATAAATAATTACAAATAAATTATTATTATTATAATAATAAACTAAGGTGACGATATATATAAACTTGCAATACACTGTTATATTGTATATCTAGGTCCTGCTGGAATGATTGAAATGTCAACTTTGTCTTGTACTATATCTACACTTTTTAAATGTATCATTAATGCTAAGTTAGTAAAGTTGTATAGTTATATAGTTTTCTTCTCTTTTTGACGGATAACACAACAGCACATATTACCGTGGTGAATATGCGCTTATTTTAACTTGATTTCCTATACATCTGTATCTACATAAAATAATAATTGTCTTACTGAAGCATACTTAAGCATACAAAACATAATACAAACTAAATCGTTGATAGCTTACATACAAGTTGTATATTTTAAATATATAGAGGTAACATTTTACACTTAAAATATATTCTTAAGTATAGAAAGTATTTTCTTGTAAAGTAGACACATCGAACAATTGTATCTTAATCATCAATTTTTAATTATCCTTTAAAAACAATTAATTATCGTAGCCATAACATGAAACGTGCATCAAGACATGACTCTTATAAATATTCTTAACTTCTGCGCACTTTGCTTCTTCTGTACCGCTCTCTCTTTACAGTCAGACGTTTAGTTTATTTTTAATAATTAAAACTAGATTTACCATTTCTTTATTTCAATCTGTATTGAAATAATTTCATAAGTATATATCTTCATATAGACATATAGACGCTGT